ATAGTGAGCGGTTTTAGAGTTCTGCTCTGGAAAAGAGCACTACCACCAATTTCAGTCAAAGTCGACATTTTCGCGATGGAAACGCCAAAAATATTTAATTCAGAATTCCAAAACTACCAAAAGGCACCAGTACACCACCAGATCCATGTATGTGCCAAGTTTGGTGAAGAAATATTGAACGGTTTTAGAGTTCTGCTCCGGAAAAGACAAATGTGCACGGACGGACAGACGGACGGACAGACGGACGGACAGACAGACTTGGACGGACGGACGGACGGACGGAGTCCATTTTACGGATACGGACGGCAGCGGACGGACGGAGGGACAGAAGGAGGAGTCCATTTAGATACTTGGTGGCAATGATGCGAGAAGGGTTGTAGATACTTGGTGGCAATGATGCAAGAAGGGTTGTAGATACTTGGTGGCAATGATGCAAGAAGGGTTGTAGATACTTGGTGGCAATGATGCCAGAAGGGTTGTAGATAATTGGTGGCAATGATGCGAGAAGGGTTGTAGATATATAGATACTTGGTGGCATTGATGTGAGGAGGGTTGTAGATACTTGGTGGCAATGTGAGGTTGGTTGTAGATACTTGGTGGCAATGATGCGAGAAGGGTTGTAGATACTTGGTGGCAATGATGCAAGAAGGGTTGTAGATACTTGGTTGCATTGATGTGAGGAGGGTTCTAGATACATGTACTTGGTGGCAATTGTGTGAGGTGAGGTGTTTGCATATTCAATGGGAAGCCAGAAAAGTACCTTAGAAAATTTCAGCCACTAATCACAAATATGGCTGCGCTAATCAGTTGTGGTGTGATGATACAGTGATACAGTGCTGTATCCAGGAATAAGGCAATACTTACAAGTTGTTCTAAAAATTACGGAAATGATAACAGAAACTGTTCAACAACCAGCTGAGCAGATTCTCTAGTATTTCTCACTAAGCTATAAATAATGTAATATTCACAGGGTCCTCTAGCCTAAATTTGTCTGCCTTCAAAATCCCAAATTCTAAGATACCCCACTAAAAGATCAAAGCCACTGATAGTACTTTATCAGGCAATAAAGTACACTTATTTGTAGATGATCACTCCATATTGACGTCACTACACCATTCTCTTCTGTCCCCTCGTAGTCAAACATCATCTTACTTTAACTAAAATAGTTCAGGGCAAAAGTGTACTTTATTACACTATACATGGGGATAGAGCGAACTGCATTTTTAAATCCAATCTTACATATTTGATTATTAAAAGCAAATGATTCAGAGTTGTGATTCAGCTGCAAAGTGTTTGAATATTAACTTATGAAATATAAGTACTTTAGTGGGATACAAATCATATTGTACCAATAGCATTAGGATACACATACTACCACAACCCCACCATATCATTATACTTCTATCATGCCTGTGATTCACGAAGAAGTTGAAAGATTAATGCATCTTCAGTCAAGTAAGAGATCAGTGTATACTTGACTTCCATTTTTTTCAGCTTCCTGGGAAATATACAACCCAAGCTGCCTGTCAACAGGTTATCAGTCATAACGTAATCTCTTCCTACCTGGTACCCATTCACTGCTTGGTGAACATGAGTGGGTGAGTGAGTTTGGTTTTAGGCCACTTTTTGCAATATTCCAGCAATATCATGGCGGGGGACTGGTGAACATGAGGAATTTTTCAATTAAAGTCACTGTAAGGAGAAACCACATAAGCATGGGGCAGGACATGGCCATTCATCAGCTACTCTCATGACAAATCCAGCTCTATGTCAGCTGATGCGATACTTATGCACTGTAAACTATATCACATGCCACACTATTAGAACACAACAGAAGTACTACCAACGAAACAAGTGTAACATAACCATGGTAACAGCTTTAAATGGTAATCAAAAAAATTCCAATAAAAAACAATGAAAAGGTCACAATAAAAATCATCAAACAAAATGAAACTATCTGGAATCAAAAGGTTTTATATTCACGATACCATCTCCATCAGCATGATCCAGGATAATCTGATTTCATGCTCAGTCTCATTCAACAGAGGAGGAGTCTGGAGTACTGAATAACTCCATATTGACCAGATAATGAGACCCCACTGTAAGTGTAATGGTACATACTGCACATATGGTCAGTGCTTAGCATGTAAGGTATACTACCATCACCATGACAACGGGGGCTGTAAACATATTCCACAAATGTTATTACAGTAATCAATTCAAGACGTATACATTTGTTATACAATGTCCTACAATAGCACATGTATGCAATATAACATGATCGAGCAATCAAAATTAAATGGTCCTGGGATCCTGGCAAATTGCCAGTTCTGAATCTGACTTTAGAAGTGCTTTAAGCGTGTTAAGTCTTTCAACAATATATACTGAAAGAAACAATTCAAGGAACAAAGGAAAATTCCTTTAACATTTTCTAGTTTTCAACACACATTTTGAACAGCGCTGTGGGTGGAAATCTGAGAATAAATAAAGCAACACTGCCATGAAGTGGTGTTCCCTTATTTGTTTCCCTCAGTATAGTTTGGACAAAGACTTCTCTACTAGGGCTGTAACGAATATACAATGTTGCGAATATGATACGTATCACTATCACGAATATTGGGTTCCGAATACGAATAATTATTCACGAATACAATATTGTAGTTAAGTGACTGATGCACAATATTGAATGCCCATGTTGACAGTGTTAATTTGTCACAGCAATAACCAGTCATCTCATGACACTCAAATTTGGTATGTAATAGTTATACCATGTGCGGCCTTGGCAAACTAACATGACTTGCGCTATTACAAGGCTAGTACATAATGCATTCTTGCATATCTCATTTTGAAAAGGACATAAGGGTTCAAGTAATGACACTCCCTTAAAAATTGTAAATATTCACGAATATTCGGTTCCGATGACCACGAATAACGAATTGAATTCATGAAAGGCTACGGTTCGATTCACCGAATATGCGAGTGAATCGTTACAGCCTTATTCTCTACTTCACTAAAACTCAGTGACTTTTGCAACTAGTATCAAACCTGTTGCCACCAGTGCCATACTTCTGTACGCTCAGCTGATATATGTCCATACAATACAATCAGACACCAACATTGTGGCATTGACAAATAACTGCTTTCCTGAAAACACATTAACAATGCTAAAGTCAGCTTAAAACAAACTGATTATGCATTTTATAATAATTAACAGATGACAAGAAAATTATAAGCACATTTCATTCTGTAGCATTGTGGCTGTGTGTTAACAAGGAACATTTGGGAAACACCTTGATATAAGGTATCTTGAATGCTGATGTCAGTTCTATTCTAACTATTTCTATATCACATTGACATCAGTATGACTGCATTTGAAGCATCCAAACAAGTGGTTGCTGGCATGAATAACAATCCAAAAGTTTGGGCAGAATGCAATAAAATGACAGACTGTAACTGTCATTTCAGACAGCTCTCAAGACAAATTAAATTCATAAATTGTACGTAATTGTACTTGCAGGCTCTACTTCCTCTGCGTCACTAAAGGGAGATCATGTGAATCTGATTGTGAGCAAAAAGGAGATACTGTGAACTTTCATCACTAAAACATTGCGCTCAAAATTTCACATACTGATTTCAGAAATTGAAGGCATCCTGACATAGTGAGTCAAGGTTAAAGAAGAAGTTCCTTGCATGTACACAGCATCATGACAATCTATATCAGCTGTAAGATGAGCCTGGACCAGACCAACCAATGGTCAATAGCATGAACAATGCACAAGATCTACCAGGTCACACTGTTATCATCCAATGCCTGGTAGTAGCCATTTCTAATAAACTTTTGTCCAGCATTGTGAACTACAAATACTTCCTTGTAATCATGACTATCATTTTACCATCATGACTCACAACAGAAAGCTCATTTGACAACCTTTAAGGCATATTACTTACTGACAGACATCAACTTAATTATTATCAACTAATTATTATTAGCTATTTTAACTAATTACGCTTACCAAATCTCTGTATAGCTCCCTGTAAACCAGTTAGACATTGATATGTCACTACTAAGACTGACTGACCGACTGAGTTTGGTTTTACGCCGCTTTTAGCAATATTCCAGCAACATCACGGCGGGGGACACCAGAAATGGGCTTCACACAATGTACCCATGTGGGGATTCGAACCCGGGTCTTCGGCGTGACAAGCCAACGCTTTAACCACTAGGCTACCCCATCGCCCCACGACTAAGAGGTATAGGCTGTCCAATAGTGTTTTCAAAACATAGGTGCTGATCAAAATTTGCATCACACTTTCAATGCTTCAACACAGTGTATGCATACTGATCAAATAACCAAAAAGAAAATGATTCACTTATGAAGACACTTGCTTTCAAATGTAAGGGTTCATATTTGCAATAATATATCTACTTTAGTACTTATCAAGATGCAGACTGGTCCATGAGAGCAGCAAAGGTCTGGAAAGACTTCCGCACATATCTGTACTACAGGCCCTAATCATTGCCCCTCAATCTTTTCAATTCTAGTATTTTTTGAGGGGGGAAACAGGAGGACGTTTTACCCACTTTATATTTCAAACCCAGTAAGCACATAGTATTGTTTTAGTGGGATTAATATTCATGTACCATGTGTTCATTATGGGTCGGTTCAGTATACCCCGAATTGGAATCTATTAAGAAAACCCTCTAGACAGCCCCTAAAAACCCTCTAGACAGCCCCTAGCTCTTATAAGCCAAAAATTAAGAACGAAATCATCCATAAGCTGACTGATAAATGAGAGTCGAATTGACATGTTTACAGCAGGTATATTCGAACCACCTTACTATATTCTACTTTTCAAAAGTTCTCTTCTACAGCCGTCTTTGAGTGTATGGAATATATGTCATGATCTGTGTACATGGGCAGGTTTGTGGCAGTTTCCTTTTCAATATTTTTTTTTATTATTTCCGCATCATATATCTAGGCATATAGGAGTTTGTTTACCTCAACTGTGTGTTCTTCAAGACGCTTATCGTTTCCTTTTCCATTGGAACTCCCTCCCCCTGAAGCCATTTTGTACTCAGATTTTGATCTTTTTTAACTTTCATGTATTTCTGTGTCGTGTTATCCTGGCGTCTTAATACGCAATCAGGATAGTTGCAATTTCCAGACTTCGTCAGGACATCTCATACTTCTACACAAACATTCCCTCGATCAACATTCAACAACCTGATGCAGTACAGAGAGCTGTCAAATTCAAGGTATTTCATTGGTCAATAAAATCAGTTTAACTCGTTCAGAAAGTTATGTCAAAATGAAAATGACATACATATGATTAAATTGGGTGATTATTTACAATAGAGTTTTTTGTGTAGTAAGAATAGTTTTATATCAAATATAAATGCATTTCATGCGAAGCGGATTATTCAGTTCGGAACAATAAAACCGGAAGTACTAACTACTGGTAAAAGTTCCCTATGATATAATGTAAACACTGCATTTTATAGCACGTAACATTTCATCATTATGAAAGTTGTAGTTTATACAACATTCAGTTTTACAAACCATTTCTACTTGTATTATCAAAAAAGTATTGTACGTGGCAAAACTACTTTAAAAACTGATAAATAATGATCATTTGTAGCACACATTTTGCATGGGTAGCTAATGTTGACATTACACCGGCCGTAATAAAGGCATGAATGGAAAGTGCATGGTGTGGACTGTGTTTGGCTAGGAATGTTTACAGACATCAAGCGCAGGTGACCTTCAGAAGATTTGCCGCTAGGATGTCTGGGGATTTCACGGATAACAAAAACAAGTTTTATCGAGTTGTTTTGACCGGTGGTATGTATACCTTTATTCACGATCACTTATTAATGATATATTGCCTATTTACGTATATGGACATCTTCGGTTGTGTGATGATACTTCTGCTTATATAGGTTACGGTACACTTTAGCGGGAATCTATTTACGGCGTGACCACGTGTTTTCAATCTACGCTAAACCCGCAGTGACGATGAAATAGGACGCCCGAAACACCACTTAGCCTGGCAACCGCGGACTGCTTGACAGCCAGTTTTCTATTAATTCTTGGCATGAACTGATATTTCAGAAGCTGCTACCTGTATTGTTTTTGACAATGACGACTCATGCACAGTGATTTCTGAATAAAAATATATAGAATCTATTTATAAAATAAACCAATATCACAAGTAAAAGATATGTACAATAATAATATTTTCATGATTACCGGTATGTTGTGAATGAATAGACCGATCCAGTCCCGGCTGATAAGCCCCGCCCACTTCGTTTTTGACGTTAGGGGGGACAATGGCGTCACTGCCGGCGAAACGTTACGTGATTGCGAACGTTGTTGATGAATTCTGCTTGTGATACTTTGGTATCCGCCGTTTGTAAATGTTATTTAAAGAGGCAAGTTATACGTATGTGATTTTTTATATATTTTAGCTGGCAGATTACAACTGGCGAGTGAAAATGAGTTACATGCCCGATGAAAAAGCGTCTCGACTAGCTGCTGAGACTGTAGGAAGCGTAATTTCTTTCGAATCAATTAATTTATCTGGCAATTCACCTCCGTCACAGATATTAGCAGGGGAAGGATAACTGAATTTTGTTGTTTGGGTTTATAATTTTTAAAACTTCGTGAACACAACCACATGTTCATGTTGCAGATCTTTTTCGGTATCTATAAATGGATTATCAACACTGCTTGGCGTGGCTGTTCAAATTTAGTTCAATAAGTTTAGTTTCTATCTTTTAATGAATTAAGAGAATGGTAAATAGAAAGCAGAAAATATTTCCCGTCTACTACTTCATGCACCTTATTTGTCTGTACAATTAATGTAAACAAATCAATCACAGCATAACCTATTTGATCTAATTGGAAATCTGGAAAAGGTAATTGGGCTTGTAAACAATATGTTTCCATGGAGGTATCTGGACATACCCAGAAGCAAATATTCAACAGCTGATCTGCAGCAACTCTCAGTAAAGTTTCTCTCTTCAAAATCTGTACACCATTATAAAATGACACTGAATATAAGGAAATCATTTTTTTAATCATCATTTCCATTTAATTTTTCTATATGTACTTTGTTGTGGAATCCTAATTTACATACAAACTTCCATAATACTGGACTTCATGAACTGCCAGCGTTTATGTACAGGTATGCCACAGCACCAGAACACAAAGAAGATCCAAGATACAGTCTGCACCTGTACACTAGCTGACCCATCTTCCAGAAATAGGAAACATGTGATGCAAAATTTTGGAACAGAGAATCCACAGTTATCCTAACAATTAACTAGCATTGAAATAGAATGGTACACAAAATACAAATGTAGATCTATTGTTTTTTCATCAGAGATGTTTAACTGCTAACTACTAGTGTAAATAAGGTGCAAAGAATATATCCTATGTTCAAAGCCTTCTGTCAATACAATTACATATTGACATTATTGCTTCTTAATTAAACAATGATAATCTTTGTTTTATTAGATCCGAGATTATATCCCTAGAGGACATAACACTGATTTTGATCTATTTCCTTTTCTGAGATACTTACTGGTGTCATAAAAATTATAGTAAAGTTGATTCAAAATTTGGTAAAAGTCATAACAAAGGTTTAGGAAAACAGACATGAAAATGTCCTGAAGCGTTCACCCCCTACAAACCAGTGTGCAATTTAATATGAAGCTCATTTTGCAAATAATCATCAACAAACCTTGAACAATTTGTCCAAATCCACCATCTTAATAAACACTAGCTTTGGCTCAATCTTCAAATATTAGTAACCTCCTAAAAAACTTATGATTTATCAGAAGAATTACATCAAATATGGGTTAAATATATGTTTCAATCTTTATTCCGTTACATGAAAAGTGACCTGAGATTTTTGTAAGTTATTCTGTTCCAGGACTAGATAATGCCTGACCAGGGTTTGATCAAAACGTAGCCTTTGCTTTTTCAAATTTTCTGGATGTTGAAATAATTTTAATGAGTTATGATACTAGCAATCACTTTCAGAATTATCTTATTAGTAAATGTAGTATTAAAAAAACCCATCTAAAAGCAGGAGCCAAGTTAATACTAAGTGGTTGTCCTGCCATGATATGTATGGTGTATGTTTGCCTAGTTCTGCCTTAAAATCTAAAAAAATCTGATATGTCAATCAATTAAATAATTATTCATTATTCATTATTGATTATTGATTAGATTATTATTAAGTTTATTACCCGTCCACGATTACAAAAAGCAAGATTCTTAAAACATACCTTGCTATCATTTCCAGTGAATCAAAATTACAGTTGTAATATTACTCCTAAAATGTACCATTATATGTGAATAATTTATGTGGCAACAAAATTTCAAATACTGCAGTAATGTACTCATAATTAAGATATACACTTTATTTCACTCCGTCCAATACTCCAGAAAGTCACTATTCTTCTCACATAGTTTTCGTATTCAATCAACATGGAGGAAGGTAATTCAGTTCAAAGTCCCATGCAACTCTTTATAAAAACCTGAAATATTTAAAAGCATGGTTTTATAGGCACTCATATGAACTAATTTTGATACTTGGATATTGCATGATAGGCAACTGCTGACACTGACAATATTTCCGTTTGAATAAAAAAATATTACACCTCGAATATTTTGCTCTGTTAACAAGATACTGTAGGCCTTCAGATTGTGCTTATGAAACTTAAAACATCCTAAAATGTGTGACAAATTGAAGAATATCTAAGAGCCGAAGGGACAATATCCGCCATACATTGTTCTTTCATGTGACAAGTTTTGCTATTTCGGTTGACCCTAACCGAAATAAAGATTTGTTTACATTGTGTCACGGCTTTCTAAGCCTGTCTCATTTGAGCTTTATGGCATTACCAACTCAATGCCTAGTAGTGACTAAAAGCGTGAAGCAAAACAATTTTGTAGTTACAAGAATTGTCCGTGTTTATAACACTTGCAAAGTCTTAAACTGCTATTTGTTGTCATCAGTTGGTAATGATTTTGCACATGTGCAAAAGAGTGGAAATTGCGTGCAAATTCTCATCAGCAGGCAGACGTAGGTTTCCTGAATGATGGTGCAGACATTTAACTGATCGTTAGGCCTATTGCGTTTCTTGATCCGGCTCCATTTTTGTTGTCTTGACCGTAATGGTTTTGTTAAGGTACACATCAAATCGCAGCAATATCTAATAAATATAGCGAGTGTAAATGGCATAATTCGAAGCACATCACTTCGGATGCATCGTTTGACCCCGGAAATAAGTCTGACAAATCCACACTGCGCGCCCGGCCTGCTGATTGGCCAAAATTGACGCATGCGCCAGTTTTGATTGACAGACTGGATCGGTCTATTTCAGTACTGTATGCCAGTTATATGTGAGTCACAACATGCTCGAGAAGATCATAATTCTATTATAGAATGAATAAGTCTTTGAACAGCATTTTTTAACGCAGCTTTTAGCAATATTCCAGCAGTATCACAGCAGGGGACACCAAAAATAGGCATCATATATTGTACCCATGTGGGGAATCGAACCCAGATCTTCACCATGACAAGCGAGCACCTTAACCACTAGGATAAACAATCTCTCTCTCTCTCCACCCCCAACCCCCAATTTAAGTCATGGTCATAATGTATTGCTTCCCAAATAGTAAGCAATTGATCTAAGTCTGTAAATAATCCAGCCTGGACAAGACAGTTTAGTGACTGACATCTTGAGCTTCGTTCTGACCATGATGAACAGCTAGTAGAGGATGTTATGCACCAAATAGATTGTGTTGTAAGTCAGTGGACTGTCTGATCAAGACATGATTATTTTCAGGCCACATTCATAAAGCCTGGATATTTGTAAGTGTGACATTTTTTTAAAAAACCAACTTCAGTGATACCTGTCAAGTCTGCAGTGATGTGCAGTGAAGGCTGTCTCTTGATGATAATGTTTCATATTTTATGAGTGCTTCAAGTGATTATGATTTAGCACTTGGACAAAATGAGTCATTGCCTTTATAAGAAAAATAAGGATGAACAAGCAGGCCCCTGTTATTTCTGCTGGCATTAAGCCAAGGATCATCGTGTTAATGATACCCAGTATTGGGTGGCACAATAATAGGAAATTATCCAAATATTTGCTGAAGGCTGTATACCTACTCAGTACGATAGATTCTGAAATGTTCCCAGCCACTTGTTTGCCTCGCCAAGATTGTGTAGATATGACAACTGGCTATACAGAATTGTGTCCCTTTGGTACCTGGTGTTTTCTTCTATATATTTAGAGATAAACATCATGTGTTGGCCAATTTCTGGGTGTTATTGACTGCATTTGAAGCATTGGAATTCATTTGAAACCGAAATGAATATTCCCATGCTTCAAATACCACCCGGAAATTGGCCAACACATGATGTTTATCGACATTGTAAACACAAAAGTAAACCAAAATGTCCACACTGTTTTTATGTCTGCACGCATTGACATCGAGTATGGGTACAGCAGTAAATCGTCATCAGCCGACCGTTTGGCTGTCTCCCATGGTAGCATCTGGAACTGCTCATTTGTGACGTCATTCAGACTTTACGTCACAATATGATTTGAAGGACATCACCACTGCTGACGACGTTAACAATGCAATGGTGTGTGCGATGTTTGTACGTATTAATATGCAGTGAAAGGTCTTGCAATTACCGAGAATCGAATACCTTTTGATCATGTTTTTCAAGCAATCAGATTAAAGAACACAGTGACTTTTGGTTTACAATTCTATATATTAGGACTTTAGCCTTTCTATTCAATATTTGTTTTCATCCC